TCCAAGAAGGCCGAGAAGACACCGACGACGAACCTCGTTCTGGACGCCCCAGCACATCAACAACAGATGAGAATGTTGAAGAAGTGAAGAAAATAGTGTTGGGAAATCGTCGAATTACCATTAGAGAAATTGCTGATGATATTGGCATCTTATTTGGTTCGTGCCAATCAATTTTGACGAGTGTTTTAGACATGAGACGTGTGTCAGCGAAGTTTGTTCCGAAATTGCTCAATTTCGACCAAAAGAAACGTCGCATGAGCATCGCCCAAGAGCTACTGAATGACGTCAACGATGATCCAGATTTACCCAACAGGGTTATAACAGGTGACGAAACATGGGTATACGGTTATGACGTCGAGACTAAGACTCAATCGTCCCTGTGGAGGCATTCTGGATCACCAAGACCAAAAAAAGCACGCCAAGTTCGATCAAATGTAAAGGTTTGGCTTACAGTTTTCTTTGACTGCAGGGGCGTGGTGCATCATGAGTTCTTGCCACAGGGTAGAACAGTAAATAAGGAATATTACCTGCAAGTTATGCGCAATTTGCGCGAAGCAATCCGCCAGAAACGTCCGAATTTGTGGAAAAATAAAAATTGGCTTTTGCACCATGATAACGCCCCTGTTCACACAACGTTGCTTGTGCGCGAATTTTTGGCTAAAACCAACACAGTAACGATGCCACAGGCACCGTATTCCCCAGATCTGGCCCCCTGTGACTTCTTCTTGTTCCCAAAACTGAAGAGGCCCATGAAAGGACGGCGTTTTGCCACGATTGAGGAGATAAAGACGGCATCGAAGGATGAACTAAACAAGATCACAAAAAATGATTTTTTGAAATGTTTTGAGGATTGGAAAAAGCGTTGGCACAAGTGCATTATATCCAAGGGGGATTACTTTGAAGGAGATAAAATAAAAATTGATGAATAAATAAATATTTTTTGAGAAAAAGAAAAATTCACCTTACTTTTTGATCACACCTCGTACATTGAGAAAGCTTGATGAAAGAAAATTTTTTGTTTAGTTTTATTATGCCATCTTTTCATTTCAACTTTCGGTTCATCTCCGTATTTAATTGAGAGAACTGATACGGGTTTTGAGTCCATCACCGTTATGTAATTCAGTTTCGGTTCGTAAAATTCAAATGATGGAAACTGGTTTATGATTTCTAATTACAATTGTATGATAAAAGGCTAAAGAGGTTTTCGCCTTAGTTTTTCCCGTAGAATCGATTGCCGTAAATAGTTTTTCAAAAAACTAAAACTTTTGTCAATTTGTTTAAATAACTTTTTATAAACAATTGGAAATGCAAAAAGAAAAAACACGTGTAAATTATTTTTGAGCTATAACATGAACCCAATAGTTATTTCAAGGCTATCTCGACTAGATTCGGCTTGGGTATTAATGGGTTAAGTCTAGGTCGAGATCTCCTTAAATTAAAATCACCGAGAAAGATATATTTTACTCTGAAAAGTTACTTCCTTACGTTTTGAGAATCGTTGAATCCGAATTGAGCATTAAAATAGCTCTAAGAACATCCAAATCCCGTTTGATAAGGAGAACAATAGTTGACCCATGAAGGGTCATATAGATATATCTAATCTTACACTTTTCTTCTTTTGTAATGGACCCTTTTATTTTCAAAACATAGATGCAGCGGATTTCTTGTCTGTTTTTGTGTGTATACAGAAAGAGTGGCCGAGAAGAACAGATTTTAACCCAGGTATAAAAAATATGCTCTGTGATCCTTTAATAGATCTATAAAGATAGAAGGTCTTTGTTTCCACCCATTTATACCAAACTGAATCTCGTGAAGCAATTCGTCAAAACTCTGGCCAAGACTGAAAAATGTTTTGAATACTTAAGACAGAAGTTTCTAAGCATAAATGATGCCAAACTAAAAGAAGGTGTTTTCGATGGTCCTCAAATTCACACATTATTCCGAAATAAAGATTTTATCATAAAAATGACCCCTGTAGGTTCAACAACTGTTAGGCTGCATGGTCAAATATCAAAAAAGTCGCAAAGAATTTCTTAAGAATTCAGAAAAATGTAGATTACAAAACTTTAGTTCAAGATTTATTGAATAACTATAAAGTTAGGTTGTTTAATGAACTTAAAACTACTTTCTACATTCTACATTCATTTCCCACATTCCAGCTACATTCTAACATTAAAACTACTTTTTCCTGAGTTTGACCTTGAAATATGCCTTCGATTCTGACGTGGTGGGGTCAAACTAACTGCGAATTCGGATTCAGCGTGGCAAAATACATGGGAATATATGTATATGGTTTTTTTATACGGAACATGTATTTTTTTTTATGTTCCTGTGAATTGAAAATTTTATTAGACTAAATATATGTACTGTCTTAATTTATTAACAGCTTGAAAATATTAAGAAAACTAGCGACCTACTTAATATTTACATTATATGTATGGTTATCGAATCTTGTGATCGTCAATTTTGTCAACTACAAGATTATGATACCGAATAATGATAATGACAGATAGTAGATATTTAAAAGGCTGTTATAGATGAGAAACTTTTTATAAACGCGTCTATCAACATTATTTTCTATCAAACAGTTCAGCCAATTATTGAACACAGCTCCATATAGAAATGGCCGCTTGGCAAGTTCATAGGAGTAGTTCATAATGATTGCGACATACGAAACTTTTTCAGCATGTTTCTTGCATGCATATCTACTATAGACAATGAATTCTGTTCCATAATTTTCGGTTAATAAAAAGTTGTGCACAAAATACTTATAAATTTCGTAAGTGCAGCTTCGTTAGCAAGGCGGTAGGGGTGGTTCATAGGGGATGCGACAAACGGAAACTTTTTTCGCGTGTTCCTTGCATACACATCTACTATAGAAATTATATATTGTAACGGACGTTTTGTATTCAAGCCGAGACATTAAACCATCTAACTAAGGAAAAATTATATCTTACGCAAACGAATTTTCATCTACTAAACGAATAACATATTTAATGCTAATTTACCTAAATTGCAATTAAAGAGAATTTGAACATTGATAACAGTTTAACTCTACAGTTATCAACAAAACTAGATATTAAGTTGATAGACGTGTTGTATGAACTAAAAAGTCATGAACTCTTAGAAATGGAATTAAACAAATTCATGAAGATATCATGAGCATATGTAAATAATAAAAATAACTTGACAACAGCTAAGGTTGATTTAATTGATGTTGATTGATAATATTCGCTACATACGTATAAGTCAATTGAAAATAAGTAGATATCTATAAAACACTTATAACTCAATGACTACTCAGTTTAATAAATAATTGGCTGTATCGAAACTGATAAAATTCTATTAATTAAAGCGAAATACATGGAAATTTGCGAGAGTGCATAGGCAAAACGGCGCTCTAGAATTTTCGATGTGCGAAAACAAAGATACTTGTAACTGAAGTAGTGGGGTAAGATTCGCAATCCACTATTATGTATAAATAGGCCGGCGTACATCACTTGGATCAGCATTGATCTGAGCACCATACAGGCAGTTGGACTCATGTTGAATAAATGACTGGCAACAGTCTTTATTTAATAATTCTGTTTCTCTGTGTGTTAGTTCAGAACCCTACTCTTCATATTAGTTTAGATCATCTCCAGATAATTATTTTTATCCGAGAGACAGTATCCTTCTAAGATTATTGTTAAACCATTATATTCTCATAATTAACAAGTGTGGAGAGTGACCTTTTATTAATGCCCTGATGCTGTTTGGTCTATTTTCCTAGAATAGGTAGAAATAATTGGTCGTATGGCCCATTGTAATTAGATATTGCTCTGAAATATTCTTTTGGAGCAACTGCTAGTTACTTTTCACTATTTACAAAATCATTATCATCACATTCGCATGTTTATGTAAAGATTAAATATTTTTCATTTCGAGTAAAAATAAATTGATAATACATGACTGAGTTCAAATTCTCTTTAAATGCAGGTTAAGAACAAATATAACAAAAAATTTGTATATGTTTGAAAGTAATATAATTTGAAGTGTTACAATATTGATCAATAATTTCTGGTTAAAATATATAGTTGTGCATGAAATACTTATAAATTACGCAAGATCAACTTGTTTAATAGATAGGGCTGGTTGATAGAGGATGCCTCAATGAAATTCTTTTCACTTTAATCTATGATCTATATTTACAATAAAAAAAGTCAGTCAAGGAATAACTATTTGCTAATATAAGGATAAAAATAAATTTCTAGGGGTCAAAATCAGTATAATATTTTTAGCAAAGATATCAATGTCATACCTATAAAAATCAACAAATGCAGTTATTAAATTAATTTTTTGTTGGCGACATTTTCGGTGCAATCCAACATTGCAAAATTCATATTCTTCAAGAGAAGCACAACTGATTAATAATTTTTTATACTGGTAGTACCAATAGATTTTAATTTATATTTAGTCTTCAAACTAAAAGCAAATCATAATAGTCTAAATAAGTTATAGTTTATAATCTTACTCATAATTTCTAATAGCTGCAGCAATAAAGATCCTCAAGACAAAGCAGTGTTTGTATTTATCATAACTATCAATCAAATATGATTCAAAATGTTGAGCATAAATACAATAATCTTAAACTATTATTATTTGAAAATAATTTGACATAAGTATACCAATGGTGAACAAAAAAATTTGGATTTTAAAATTTCAACATCCATTTCAAGCTACCCGATCTTCAATTAAAGTAAATATTGTTGAATAAATCTTGAAAATTTCATAGAATTGAAGATTTATTGTAAATTAAAAATTATCTTTATACTATTAAATATAGATTAAATTAAAGTACCACCTTTAAGCGACTAGACATGAATAATTTGAAAAATTGTAAAACTTTGAAAAATAATCAGAAATCATGCTAATGAACACATGTACAAATATGTAATTGTAATGAATTTTAATTTAACAGTAAAAAGATTTTGTTATATTTAAATTCCGTCTAAACTTACTTTCTTGGATAGGGTGCATGTTATGCTTTTTTAAGCTGATTTACTTATATTGACTTGAAATTTCAAATAAAGAAAATATTCTTAAACATATTATTTATCCTCTGTATAATCTACAGCTGTCCATTCTTCTCCAGATTATAGGATTACTCATTCGACTATTATTTTTATAACAATATTTTCCATAACAAAGTACATACATACGTACAGTAGACACAGACAGGATATAGATGCATAAGCGTGTAGTACGCTACGCTAGCGCCAACACCCACTTTATCGTTACCCTAACTGCAGTGATGAGAATCCGATGAGGCTACAAAAAATTTCATTTTCATGAAGTTGTATCTCATCTATATTATTTATACAACTATGCCCAAGATTCTCAGTCGGTAGTCAGCCATTATATTTCTCGTTCCGGTTCCAATGTTTATTTATATTTTCAAAATTCGTTCGGCTTTCTGAGTCACGTTTGGCATTTCAAATAGTAATAGGTACGTAATTTTCATAGTGCGACTGAAAAATCGTTATTTGAGGAACTAGCAAGTTTGAAGAAAAAATGTAAGACAAATAAAATTAAAAAATAAATTAGTACTTATTGTAGGTGCTGGAGGTTTGGGCTGTCCATCGTCTTTATATTTAGCTAGTGTAAGTATTGCTCACATAAGTATTTTTAATTACGATGACATAAAACTCAAAATATTTATCAAAAATTGTGAAAATTAAGCATTTAGAATTAATAAATTGTGTTGTTATTTTCAGTAAATACTCTTTATGCCTCAACACATCCTGAGTATTCAGCATATTTATATTTAGTAACATCAATATCACTAGTTGCCTTGAACCCCATTGGTTTTGTTTTTCTGGAAGTGGCTAAGCACAGTGAAGGAGTAGACAATCGTACTGAAAGAAGTAATTGGGACATGCTTAAAGCAATTGCCAAAGGGATTGCTTTAAATCCTATACTAGTTATGACTATTCTCGAAATCATTAGAAATCTCATATTCAGTCATAAGTTGCCAACTTTGCTCGAAGTAGTTCTAGAAGTCCTTGGAAATGCATTCTCAGCAAGTGCTCTCTTTTAGCTTGAACTCATGATGGTTGGCAAAATTCACAAGCTCAAGGGTGTAGCATTAGTAATACCAGGAATTCTCATTTTTGTTAAACTTCTAGTCCTTTCATTAGTTATTAGAGAATCTGTGATACTACTGAATGCTGGAGAAAATTCCACCGACACATCTGATTTGCGCACTCTTGGTTTTCTCTATGGAACCATTCCTACTGCTCCAGCTTTATTTATTTTCACACTGCATTATAATAATGATATTGATCTGATTGTTTCGCCTATGGTTGTGTGTGCTATCCTGTCTGCCTCTTTGATGTTTATATCAGCAAAATTAATAAGTGCTATTAAAGGAGAAGTATCACCTGCTGATGAAGGTAAGCGAACTTAAAAATTTCAAATATATTGTTAGTGAATATCTTATTTCACGCTCATTATGTGAATGCTTTGTAGTTGAAAAGGTTGGTGGAAAAGCTCTACCATGTTTAGTTGATGTAAGAAATGAAACTCAAGTTGCCAATGCTGTTAAAAATGCAGTGGATAAATTTGGAGGAATTGATATTCTAGTCAATAATGCCAGTACAATTTCTCTGACTGATACTTTGAATACTGAAATGAAGAGATATGACCTCATGAATCAAACCAATGCAAGAGGAACTTTTCTAGTGTAGGTTGAAGAGTCTTGTTTCTTATATCTTTTATAAAAAATGTAATTTTATAAGTCAAAGCTTTGTCTACGTCATCTGTTAAAAAGTAAAAATCCACACATAATCAATTTAAGTCCACCTCTTAATATGCATCCAATCTGGTTCAAGAATCATATTGCCTATACAATAGCAAAATATGGTATGTCTATGTGCGTTCTTGGTATGGCAAAGGAATTCAAAGATTAAGGAGTTACTGTTAATGCTCTGTGGCCTAAGACTGGTAATAATTATTATATTTAAAAATTAATTTTTTTTTTATAATTAGTTTAGTTAAAACTCATTTATTTTGTTTTTTTCAGCTATTCATACTGCAGCCATGGAAATATTGGCAGATTCAGAATCAGCGAGAATTAGTCGGAAACCAGAAATTGTAGCTAATGCTGTTTGTGCTATTATGTGCAAGGACAGTAAAGATGTGACTGGCAATTTCTTTATGGATGAAGATCTATTGAAGAATGAAGGTGTTAGTGATTTTGTTCAGTATGCTTATGTACGTAATCCCATTCTACAATATCTTATAAATTGCTAATTTTGTGGAATTATATTGTTTTTAATAACAAATTTTATTTTTATAGCAAATGCTGATAACCTTATGCTGGATTTCTTCATGGATGTCGATAAAATATACCCAAGAATGGTTGAAAAAGAAGTGCAACGGCATCAGAAATTAAGTCAAGCAAGTGCAGGAAGTGGTGGAAAAATTGGGTGTACACCCAACATGAATTGAATCACGACCCCCCAGTTAGGTTGGTATGAGAATTCCGTCGTTGCATCGGAACGAAGAAACCGCGGGAAAATTCAAAAATGAAAATTCGTTTTAAGATACGATAAAAAGCTAAAACGTTACTAATTTGTTTTTAGGTTTAAAATTAATTGTTTGCCGAACAATGAATTTAGATGCATGATTATTTGATTTTAGGTTTTAATTATATAATTTAAGAACGAGCGTTATACTATGGCCGATCTGAAAACCACCGTTACGGACTGAAAGTAGCACTCATACCAACCTAACTGGGTGGGTCGCGATTCAATTCACGTTGGGTGTACATATTACTATTTGAAATGCCAAACGTGACTCAGAAAGCCGAACGAATTTTGAAAATATAAACAAACATTTGAACCGGAACGAGAAATACAATGGCTGAATGCCGACTGAGAATCTTGACCGATGCAAAGACAGCCCGACACAAATAACATTTTATAAAAAAAAATGATCACATCTCACGTATGTCTAATTGTACTTCTCGAAAAAATAATTATTTGTTATTGTACCATTATATTTCTGAGAAAAAATAAAAAATATCGTTATCGATAATTCACCTCCTATTTATTCACATAAAAGACATAATTAAGCAAAAATAAATTCACAGAAAAATTGTACCTTCTGAAGTCTAATTTGTACCATCAGTACAATTCTATAAATTTGTTTCTAAAAGAAATAATAGGATAATTACAAATTACCACTAATTGTTACAACTTACAAGGATGTCATCCGGAAATGCACTTTGCGCAGGCGTAGAGCTTTATAATTGTCCTATTATTTCTTTTAGAAACGAATTTATAGGACTGTACTGATGGTACAATTTAGACTATAGAAGGTACAATGTTTCTGTGAATTTAGTTTTGCTTAATTATGTCTTTTATGTGAATAAATAGGAGGTGAATTATCGATAACGATATTTTTTATTTTTTATGAGAAATATAATGGTACAATAACAAATAATTATTTTTTCGAGAAGTACAATTATACATGCGTGAGATGTGATCATTTTTTTTTATAAAATGTTATTTTATCGGGCTGTTTTCGCATTGGTGAATCTTGGGCATAGTTGTATAAACAATATAGATGAAATACAACTTTATGAAAATGAAATTTTTTGTAGCCTCATCGGATTCTCATCACTGCCCTAACTCTCCATCCGACAAACTATATTACAAATACTAAAAAATGCCAATCAAATCTTCTCAAACTGCACCCTCCAAATATACTAGCAATTTAAACTGTACCCTTCTAGTTATCATATTAAAAAATCAAAACTAATGCACGTTCTACGAGGTGTTGTAAGGGCGATAACATCGTTAATTATCAATGTTTGTACCTTGTACACAAAAAACTGTATCCCGACCTATCTTAACTGTACTATCTTTACTTTTCGAAATCATTAATTCAAATAACAAAATAATTAAGGCAACCCATTCTTCCACTAGCTGTGGAGCAATAATGGTCAGAGTATATGAATCGCGCGAATCACTACTCGGAGGCTGGAGAACTAAACAACTTTAAATTTTGCGGAAAGACGTTAATTTATGAACAGCACATTGTCAAACTGTAATATAAATATAATATATTAATAATAACTCAAACTACACCCTTTTAAATATTAATATAAATTATATTACAATGCAAAATTATACTACTGCTAGTTTTACGATATATTGCTAGTGCTATATCTTCGTTTATTATCAATATTTTTACGAGGTAAATGTACCGAAAAAATGCACTTTGTCCATTTGTATTTAACTGCATCAATTTTAGCTGTTTGAAATCTTAATACGAATAACTAATAATTAATTTAAATCATCTTTTCACTAGGTATGAAGCGGCCGCACAATCAGAGCGCATGTGCGAATCACTATATAGAGACGGGAGAACTAGACAGTTTTTAATTTGCGAATTTAGAAACGTCAGTTCATAAAGAATTTTATATATAGCATCTTGTCAAAGGATATAATGTAAGTACAATATGATAACGACTCAAACTGCATCCTTTTATTTTACTTTTAAAAAATTATTAATACTAATAAAAAAATAATTGACAAAAACGAATTGAAATGCAGTAGTAATGCTCAGAACGCATGTGGGAATTACTAAATTTAGGCGATAAAACTAGATGACTTTGAATTTCTGATAAATCAACAACTCTTTAATTACATATATCCACTTTCAAAGCGCAATAATAAAAGTATAAATTCATCAATTCATATATTCATTCTCGCTGCCTGAAAAATATGAAAGAAAATACAGCAGTCATAATATTTCTTATTGCTACGTGCTTATATCGCTGCGAAAATTTTTTTCTTTTAATCGGAAACGATACCTTAAACAAGATAGTGGTTGTTGCTGATACTAGTAAATGATTTCTCCACATTTTTTAAGAGAAATAATAAAAATAAATTTTCAAAATTCTATTATAAGTAAGTTTATAAGTTACTCTATCTTCGGGGTTAGTAGTGGCGACCCTGATGTTTGAATTTCTCGTTCCTCAAATGTTTTTATTTGTCAATATGATAGCTCACTATTTTAAAATGTTAAAGCTTGTATAAATTTGTTTTAATAATTATGACACCAAATCAAAACATTAATAAAAATGACAAGTTTCTAATCTCGAAGATGGAATAACATTAAATTCAGATAAATTTCTTAAATAAATATAATATAGATTATTATTATTATTATAAAAAATTCTGTTAATACGATCCAGACTTTGCGGGCATATTA